TCAGGTGTTGGCCTTCAACCCCTTTCCCCAGAGGAACTCTTTTTCTCCCCACCCAGACCACGTTTAACTTGTTATCATACAGATCCATACAGGGCGCTCTCCAACTCCCCTCGCCAGGACAGGTAAGAGTTTGCTCTTAATTTATAAAACAGCAGAAAACCTTTTTTTTTTGAGAGACAGAGAGAGAGTGCTCATCATCTTCAGAGAGGGGGGGGGGGTTTACTCTCCCCAAAAGACAATGTCTAACACTACAAAATCCTATATAATAAAGAGGTAAATATGCAAATGGTTGTTGTGATGGCAGTGACGGACCAACCCATCAAAAGGAGGGCGGGGCATTGAGCTATAAGCTGCAGAGAGCTGCAGGAGGGCAGGGCAGCGAGCTACAGTGTGGCACAGAGCTTCTCATGCACGGATTGGTGCGCAGGGCCACTAGTAAATAATAAATGCTGACCTGTGACAGAGGTGTCACATAGATATCTTTTGGGATAGGTATTACTGTATTGCTATTCTACCCAATTTTCAAATGAGGATACTAAAATGGAGGGAATTTGAGTTCCGTGGCCAAGGCACAGAATTGCCCAGGGAAGTCAGGATTTGAAACCAGATCCTGCATCAGGACTTTTTGAGTGAAGGACAGACCCGGGTGCTGGGCCTGGCAGGCAACCCTGTAACCTCTCTGTGCCTCACCCCGTACAATATCAGGGTGTGCGTCTCTCAGACCCCTTCCTGCTGTAAGGCACTGTATTGTCACCACAGCACACTGTATTTCCCAGAATATCAACACCATTAATCATAAGACACTCCACTAGTTAAGGCATCACTAAGAAAGGCGACGTGCTACTGATTACACCAGAAAGAATGCTTTGTATCACTTAGGATTTTGATTTTATACTTACTGAACGAGCATTTCTAAACATAGTGGAATACAGACTTCAACAGATATCACACTTAGAAATACAAAAAAAGAAAATACAGGTGACATAAATTCGGAAATAAATCCCTGAAACTTTGGAAGTGGTCCTCTCCTGAATAACTTTCCCACTCAGAGCCACCAGTGCCCGAATTTCCCAGAAAATAGCGTCTTCTGCTCCATGAAGAGCATCATCTCATCTCTCCAAAGTGTTCTCCCAAGCTGCTCACCCTCATCCCTCAGGCTTGAACGCCGGCACTTTCCAGATCTCCCTGCTGATGTTAACAGAAGGGTTTATAGACAACCTCAGGGAGATACAATAGCAAAGGCTAGGTCTGTGGGCCTATGTCCATCTGCGGGCCAGAGACAAAGGGGCCTCCTTCGTTGGGACCCCACTCAGGGCCCCCGCACCCACTCCAGGCCACCCAGAGGAAGGCTCATGGCACATGGAGAAGTCATAACCAGATCCTGCCGTGGAGCTACCAGCCTCCCCAGGAATTGAGGCCAAAGAACAGAGCTTTATCTGTGGCGACCTCCTTCCGGGTTCCTCAGCCACACTGTCTAGACGCTGTTTGCGGGCAGTCCCCCTGGGGCTTGTAAGGAGCACACTCACGTCTAATTAATCCATCCGCCTATTAGTGTGCGCGGTCATCAGGGAGTAGCCACAGCGGTAATGAAGACAAAGGGCGCCAGATGGTTCCTCTGATCCTGACTCGGGCTACTCTGTGGCTCGTGCCTGACTGTCCCCTGTCTTGCCCGATTCTTCCCAGTCCCCACTCATTCTCCATGGCATCTCTGGGCATCTTTCCTCCTGTGATTCGGTGGCAAGCACATGGACTTCAATGCCTCTGCTGATACCATGTCCCATTTATCAATCATGCAGAGGAATTGCTGCATGTGCTTGATGAGGCCTCGGTTTCCTAATCTGTCTTACGGGGATATACTAGTAGATGTCTACCTGACAGGGTGGTTGTGTGGATTCAACACAATAAAGTATGTGGATGTGCCTGGTTCCCGCTGAGTAAGTGCAGGTTACCCTTCCTCCTTCTCTCCCTCTTGTCTTTCTCAACCCTCCTATCCTTCCTTCCTTTTCTCCTTCCATATCACGTTCTTTTCAAATCCTTTGCCACCCTTCCTTCCGCCCCCACCATCCCTCCTTCCTCTCTCTTATCACTTACTTTCTTTCCTTCTTTCTTTATTTCCTCCCTTATTTCTAACCTACCTTCTTTCCTAACCCCCTTGTTTTTGCATGATAAAAAAAAAGAGTGACATGATCATATTTTTAAATTTAGAATGCTCCCAGCAGCTGGAGAAAGGAGACAGACTACAAGGAGAGAGACATGTTCCAGCCACTGAAACATCTGGGTGAGAGGATGCAGCCAGAAATAGGAAAGCTGCAGTGTTGGGGGGGGGGGGGGAGAAGGAGGGGAGGAAGGGCGAGGTGGGGGGAGAAAGTTGTGATCTCCTTGATCAGTGGTTCCCGGCCTTGTTTTGGGAGTGGCTGGGGCATTTTTCTGTGATGCACCAAACCATCCCGGGTGCTTCAGATGAATTACCTTCAGGCTTCACAAAAGCTGGCCAAGTGGCTATTTCTCCCATATAATGAAAGCTGAACATGTTTAAGTAACTTGGTCAAGGTCACAGAGCTAGCACCTTGCAAAGTCAGAGCTAAGAATAAGTCCTGCTGACTACAGAATCCCCTTTTCACTAAACCGCAGCCTCAGGTGATGAGTCCAGTCAAAATCTGCGACTAGACCAGGCAATTCCAAACATTTTTTTTTTTTTTTACTACAATCTGCATTAAGAAATCCACTGTAAATTGGGGCCAGTACCGTGCGTGTGTGTGTGTGTGTGTGTGTCTCATGTTCCAGATCTAGTAGATTCTGATTGGGTAATGAGAGTTCAAATATCAAGTTGGATATAAGACATACCATGTTAAATTGCACGTTCTGATTTGTGAATTTCAGATAATATCATATCAAGAGTTTGATAAGGTCTTTTCCTGAAATTTTATTGAACTTTTTTCTGTTCTTCAGAGAGAAGAATCTGGCTGTTGAAGAATGCCTTTGCATAGAGTAGCAAGACACAATTATCCTTATGAGTCTTCCTTACTCTCCTTAATTAATTCACTCTTTAATTGCCAGTGGAGACCCCCAAGTTGATTTCACAACCTACGATTTGGTTGGAGCCAACAGAGCAAAGCCCATTGGCTGGGACATGTGCATCTCATGCATTTAGTGTCTGTGGGTCACGTTCTGAGACGTTAACTCAGCAATTTGCTTTGTGGGCTCCCCCTTTGCCCTCCCTTCACTCCAGTTCTCTCTACATCACCTCCAGGAAGGAGGAGCAGGAAGCAAACGTCATCTCTCCTTCTTCTGTTTTCACAAAATCACAATCCCCAAGGAGATCTTTAAGGTCTTAGAGTTACAGGGAGTAAGCAAATGCAGAGAGAAATGGAGTGCACAGGGCATCATCAGCCGGGCTTAGAAGAAGCATAAAGCAAGGATTGTCACCAGACTAAGAAGATGCTGCATAGCTGGGGCGGAGGAGACAAAGGGAGAGGCAGAGAGAAGGGAACACAGAGAGACAGAGAAACACACAGAGCTACTGCATCCGAAGCCACCGCTTCCCAGCAAGCCCAGCCCCTGGGCCCAAAGGCAGGCCTGCAGAGGCTCTCCTGTCTGTGCTGAGAGGAAGCAAGGCAGAGGGTTGGGGACCCAGCGAGCAGGACCGAAGGCTGACTGCCTCGGGGCTGAGCTAGAGTGGGACCATTTGCCAATGAACAGCCAAAGACCAGAGGTCATGCTCAGGCATGGGTATATGCTCCCCCCCCCCACCTGGGCACCACATCACTATGGCATCTTCCTGGGATCGGGAGGGTACAGATGAAAGCCTCAGAAAGGATTTGAGAAGTGTCTCTCCAACTGGGTGAAAACAGAAATACCGATTTCTGACAGGTCAAGACCTACATTTCTTTCACACTCGGTTTATGAACTGAAATCCACATGTGTCGATGTAAATTCATATAAATACATTTCCATTATAATGTTATCTATATATTTTAGCCTAAATATCCTAAATATATCCCCCCCCCAAAAAAAAAACCTCCAGGCTGGTGGAAGGGAGACAGTAATAAGGTGTCATATTTTAAAAAATAAGAACTCTTTCGGTATTGAAATAGCAATCAAGTAGTTTTTGGTTTGTTTTGCTTTGAAAGAGAATAGAGAAAAATGATCTGTTTTGCCTCCCACTGAGGGTGATCATTTCTCTCCAAGGCTTCATATGTGTGTCAAATTTTGAAAAACAGATCTTAAATCATGGTCACAAGAAGACTTGGTGAGATGGTGAACTAGCTGGAAACCCATTATTTTCCATCACTACTTATTTTAGCTAGCTCACTAACGTTCCTCTAATGCAGTTGTGACCAACCAGTGGGGGTCCATGAGGTCCAAAAGGTTGGTAACAGCTGCCCTAATAGGCTGGGCACATACGCACACGTGCGCACACACGCATGTGTGTGTGTGTTCCCATGATTTCAGTAAGTGAAGGCTTCCTGGGTGACGTCACCCTCTACTAGTAGTGAAACCAGAGACAAGGGCATCATCTTCTCTGAAGAACAGAATGTGTCTCTGTCTCCCTTGGAGATTTCTCCCCGACTTGCCTGACGGATGAATTCTGTGTATAAATATACTGTCTCGGGGTTGTTTTCTCACTTCTCCTTCCAGGCACCAGAAGCTAATTTAAACCAGTTCCTGTGAAGACCCAGAAGGTATACAAAGGCTTGTTTCCTCTTGCATTTTACAAGGCAAAGGAAACACAAGATAGACGTAAGACACATTTTATTGCCTCTGTTGTACACAGGACTGCATTCCAGAGGAAATGGGAATCCAAAGTTTGGAATTGACAGACTCCTGTCATGGGTGAGTTCTACTTACGTTAGCCACTCACTGACTTTTCCTGGAGTTGTGTCAGAGCAGTGAATGCTTTGGTATTTCCTCAAAACAGGGCTCCAGACCAGGCAGGCATTTCCTCCCCCCACCCCCAGCTTTACTGAGACATAATCAAAACTAAAATTGTATGTATTTAGTGCTTGTTCTAGATCTCTGAAATATGTGGTTGGTATTTTAATAGGGATTGCACTGAATCTATAGATTGCTTTGGATTGTATGGATATTTTAATGATGTTGATTGTACCAATCCATGAACACGGTATGTTCTTCCACTTGTTTATGTTTTCCTCTGTCTCTTTTTTTCAATATCCTGTAGTTTTCCCAGTATAGGTCTTTTACCTCCTTGGTTAAGTTTATTCCTAAGCATCTTGATTTTTTTTGTTGTTGCATTGGTAAATGGGATTGATTTTTTAGTTTCTCTTTCTGAAAGCTCATTATTGGTATATAAAAACGCCATCGATTTCTGTGTGTGCATTTTGTATCCTGCTCTGTTGCTGAGTTCGTTCATTTCAAGTGCACTGGTTAGGGGCAATGTGATGTTTTGGTAAACTTACCCAGTGTGAGTCAATGGCCACAGTAAAGCTAATGAGCAAACCCACCGCCTCATGTGGTTATCATCTCCTTAGTTTTTTCTGTGTGTGCCGACAGGGTGAGACTCTCTCAGACCTCCCTCTCTGCAAATGTCACCTGCTTTTCCTTTAAGGACTTCCAGCCCTGGAAGCTGCCTTGTCACCAACACCCTCCTTCCCTCTGGAAACAGGATCCCTCTGGTTTCAGGTCCCCTTCCTGAACCGAGTCCATCTTTTCTTGGACATGTGAATATTTCATGTCTTTGGTGAGCACCAGGCTCCTACGGGTGCTTTGCAGAAGGCACAGCTCTTACAAAATGTGGATCCCCATTTTAATATTGTTGACAAGGAAGTCAAAGATGCACCTGAGGGGGAAATAGTTTTCCTTTTCTTGAGCAGATCTGCTGTAAATGTGGCCGGTGGTGGTCGGTAACATCACAAAACAAATACATTCATTTCCATGAGGCATAAGGGTGTCTCCCCACGAACCACCCCCCACAGGAAGAAAAGCAGACCCAATCGATTATTTTGATTAAACCCAATATGTGAGAACCTGCTTTCTCACAAACTGTAGAAATGGTGCCTACAGCTTGAACTGAGCAAACAGACACCCTCTGTTCTAAGAATGAGTTCTGCTCCCTTTCTTTGCCATTCTGACACCCTACCAGGCTTCCCAAAGCCGAAATATCTCACAAGTCTCTTATTTCATTGGCATGTGGACTCGCAAAACATACGGGGCATTTTCATTTCCATCGGTTCAATTTAAATTAGGTCAATATTGGTTAACTGCATGTGGCAGCATTTTTATTACTCTCATAGATGCTAGATTTACAAGATCCAAATCTAGTTGATGGAATTATGTTGTCTATGAATCAGAAGATACTGGACAAGTTACTTAGCCACCCAGAGCCTCAGACTTCTCATCGGTAAAATGGGAATAAGAAGAAGTAGAGAAGGATCTACCTCGGAGAATTGCTGGGATGGATAAAGGGGATGTTTACAAAGATCTTAAAGGAAGGTGTTCACCCTTCAGGAGAGATTCCTGGGGAAGGATGAGACACAAATGGGTAAGCAGATCCCTGTATGGAGGGCCATTCTACAAGTACCCGGAACAGACTGTTGGACAACAAAGAAGGAAGTTTATTTCATGGGGGGTATCAGGAAAAGCTTCCTGCGGACGACATGGCTAAGGCTTGGAAGGATGAGGTGGGTGGTGTTTGGCGGGAGGACAATGGAGAAGGGGGGGATTCCAAGAGGAAGGGTCTGGATACAAGAGGCACCAAGATGGCAAAATCCTGTCCCTGGGACAGAGTAGAGCCCTGGCCATAATAATGCAGGAATAAAGGAAAGCGTGATGAGACATTCATGTGGCCTCAAAGCAGTGTGTTGACACCTCTACTTTTATTTTATTTTATTTTCATATATTTTATTGATTTTCCACATAGAGGAAGGGAGAAGGATAGAGAGCATCGATGAGAGAGAAACATTGACCAGCTGCCTCCTGCACACCCCCTACTGGGGTTGTGCCCACAACCAATGTACATGCCCTTGACCGGAATCAAACCTGGGACCTTTCAGTCCGCAGGCTGACGCTCTATCCACTGAGCCAAACCAGTTTCGGTGACACCTCTCCTTTTAAGTGATAGTCACGTGGAGGTTTGTATATGCCCCAAGCCTCTGAATCTTTGTGCTGCGCCCATGCTGGCATTTAAAAAGCAGAATGAGTTGGGGGCTGAATGGCACTGTCCCAACAAGGAGAATAACATCTGAATCTAGTTGTGTCATCTATGCCCTCATTGTTAAAACAACCTGTTCTCACAACACCAGCAGCAGAGGAGAGCTCCGAGGTCAGCTGACCAGATGCAGCGCTTCCTCCCCGACACATTCATTTCAGCCTCTGATTCATGAAACCCTTTGAGTTTCTCTCTGTGGTGAGCTCTGCGCTCTGCGCTCTGCGTCTCCACCAGCCTGACTCATTTTATCTGATTGGGTCTGCGCTCCCCCTCCTTGGCACGCCTCCCTCTGCTGCCGAATAAATAAATCATCCTGGGATACATCCAGGGGGAAGATTTTCATAGGAAAGTTCCATCTGCATTCAGCCCCTCGTTTGCTCAGGCTGGGTTCTCGGGCACCCAAGGAGAGAGAATGGGAAAAATGAGGTGTTTGCTGCTGCCAAGCTTGCTTGTATGGTCATTAGCACAGGTGACTTGGGGCCCTGCCCACAGAGAGAGAACACAGCGCCACACACATCTCCTCCGGGGTCTGCAGGGGCCTGCCTCCCTCCCCACCCAGCCCTAGGCCCATTCTGCTCTCACTCCTCAAGGCAAGCAACTTCCTGCCCATCTGTGTTTCAAGGCAGCTGGCGGGGCTGACCCATCCATGGAATGTAGGAAGAAAGAAACAAGCAACATTCCCTTCTCAGGGATATAATTCCTGGGATCACTTCATTAAGATCTAGATGACTACAAAACAGAGGAGTTGTTATTTAAGAGGGGCGGGGGTGTGCTTTGGCAGTAACTTCTGGCCCCATTGGGTAGGCCAGCTACTCTGGAAGATCTTTACAGTGAAATTAATTAATTTACCAACTGGGATAAAAACAGAATCTGCCTTCATTTTACCTAAAATTGAGTGTTTAATGCGGTTGCCTTTCTTGGGTGGGAGAAGACACTTTCTGAGGGACTGGCGTCCAAGGGGTCACTCCCAGGATGTGTTCACCCAGAATCTACTGCTCAGGGATGTGAATACCTAGGCTTCTTCCCGCTTCTGGCATTCTCCGCGTTAAGGCCAGTGCTGCGTGTGAACCAAAATCCTGTGCGTGGGAAAGGAGGGATTAACAAGGAAAGCATTTCTGGGACGCGATGGCACAAATGTACGTGGCTGGCCATCCAGAGCTGGCCTTGCCCTGGGCGGCCGGAGGGCGGGCGGGCGGGCTTCTCTCTATGCCTGGGCAGGGGGAATGGCTCGCTCCTGAGGGCAGAGGGGCTGCAGGGAGGCGGTCATTGAGGCTTCTTCAGGGAGCGCGAAAGCGCCCGGAGCCTGACATCATGGGCCATCAGCTGACTGTGCTCCGGCCCCGCAGCCACCGACGCAGAAGTGGCGGCCCCCGCGCTGGGCCACGTTCAGCCGGGGGCGCGGGGCTGCGGACCGACCCCCGGCGCCCACCGGCAGCGCCTGGGTCCGCTCGGAGCACCCCAGGGTGCTGTCCGCATCCTGAGCCCGGCGGGCGGGCGGGAAGGCGGCGGGTGGAGACGCCTTCCCTGCGCCTCCCTCCCCACCCCTCCCGGGAACCCGCGCTCCAGCTGGCGGGCTGGGCGCTCGGCGGGGGCGCGCCTCCCAGCGCCCGGGACCCGGCGGAGGGAAAACTCCGCAGGAAGCTGCCCGCCTCTGCAATGTCGGCTTCCTGGGGGGTATTTTTGCTTTTGAGCCGGAAAGTTGGCTCCACCAAAAGCCCCGGGGGGAGGGCGTAACGGAGACCCTCCATCCCGCGCGCCGGGCTTTAGGGGTCCGTGGGCACCTCGGCCTGCGCGTCCCGGCTGCGCCCCTGCGGAGGCCGGAGCCCGGAGCAGAGCAGCGGGGAGCCCGCCCGCCCCGCCAGCTGGAGCGCGGGGTCCGCGGAGGAAGGGGGCCCGGCTGGGGCGCCGCAGCTGTCCTCTCCCACGCCGCCTGCCAGACCCGGGGTGTCCAGGAAGATCGGGGTGCCAGGTCCCCGCCGGCTCCCCCCCTCCGGCCCCCAGATTCCGGGGGCGTGGCTTGGCGCGCGGGCGGGTGGCAGTCTCCGCCGGGGTCCGGCCGATCTGACAGGTCTCCCGGCTCCCGCCGCCCCCCGGGATCCGGAGGCATCTCCGACCTCCCCACGGCCGCGGGCTTCTCTCCTCGCCCAGACCGCCCGCCGCAGCGCCCGCTCAGCATCGGCTCCCGCCGCGGATCCGCACGGATGACTCCGCTCCGCTCCCCGCGCGGCTGGCTCGGGAGCCCTCCCCACCTTCTCCGGCGCCCGCCCCCGGCTCCCCCCAGCCCCGGGCCGCGCGGACCCCAGAGCGCGCCGTGAAGGGCATGGGATCCGGGAGCCGCGGCTCCTCGCAAGCGCGGCTGGAAGGGTCCACCTCGTCCTGCTGCGGCGACCGGGACCCCGAGCCCGCCCCCCGCCGGGAGGGACGCGCGGGGCCAGGGCCGGCGCGGCCCCGCCAGTCCCCGCCGGGAGGGAAGTAGAGGCGGCCAGAGGGGGGCCTCCGCACACCCCCTCCTCCGAATTAACCGTTTGGTGACTCGTGAGCTCGGAGGCTTCCACCTCTCCAGCCCGCCAGCCCGGCACCCCATTCCCCCCCCTCCCTTGCTTGCCCCCGCCCCCAGCTCCGCCCAGGCTCCCCATCCCCGCGAAATGGAGTTCTCCGAAGGGCTCGGTTCCGGCCGCAGCTGCTAAGTTCGCACCCGCCGCCGCCGCCGGGCACCCGGGCAGCCAGCCCCCCTCCGCCGCCTCCGAGCCGTGGGCGTCGGGCGCCGGTGCCGCAGCCCGGACCCGCCTGGCGCGGCGGCAGGAGCGCGGCGCCCGGAGCCTCGCGGGGAGCACCGGCTGCGCCAGGACCGGAGCGCGGGCCGGCCTCGGAGCCCGCCCGGGAGGGGGCTGCGCGCCCAGGGCGCTGCGGCTCCTGCGGACTCATCGCCGCTCCCCAGCCGCGCGGGGCGGCGGGAGGGCGCTGCGCCAGGACGCGGGGCTCC